AATTTAAATTCTTTGATTTACAGCAAACTGCAAAATGACCAATTTTTTTACATTTATTACATGCCGTATTTGTAGCTGGACATCTCACTTCTCGGTTATGAATAAAACCACATTTATAACATTTAAGTTTATTATAATCTTTATCATTATTATATTTGTATTTATTATTCTCTTTATCAAATGTATTATTATACTTGACTTTATTGTAGCCTTTATCAAATGTAGTCGTCGTTTTAATTGTATGTTTATAATCATTATCATTTATTTTGTTATTATCATTTATCTTATTAACAACAGCCATATTTTTATTTGCCATTTTTTTATCTGCTCGCTCAGAAGCTAATGCCATATCAAGTATATGAAAAGTCAGTACATTATTATCTCTATCAAGACCGTCGGGATATAGAGCTCTAAGATCTCTTTCCAATCCCGGTATTTCCATGCCAACCATAAACTGATCACATAAACGCTCGTCAATATCATTAAGATAATGACAACGCTTGCCAATTGTTCTAATTTTATCTGAAAATTCAGTTATGGTTTCAGTTGTTCTCCGTAATCTAACGAAATCAAATCTAGAAGCAAAAGCTGTTGACGTCGGTTTAAATAGTTTAAAACATATTGACTTAATTTCCTTAAAAGATAAAGTTTCGATCGAATCAGGATAACAAAAACGGTCCATCAACTCAATATTCTTATTGCCAAAAAATGTTAAAAATATATCTTTATCTTGACATTCAAATGGACTTACGTTTTTTAACCAAAAACTGGCTTCCCATTGAGAAAAGTATCTATAAATTGAAGTGTCCAACTCGAATTTATCAAATTTAATCTTAGATAAATCCGCTATTTTTTTGAATCTCCATTTAAGGAATTATTTTCTCCATTTATCGTCGCCATTTGTAATAATACCACTACTATTTATAAACAATACGACTACTAATTTACATTTCAATTTATTTCAAACATCAAATTTATATTAATTAATTTTCGAATATTCTATTCTATTTTTATATATAATATCTATAAATAATATTTTATTAATTTATTACAGATTTAAAAACTTAATATTAATAATCATTCTTATGAGTTTACATTTTGGTGGAATAATAATTATTTTTAAGAGTTAAAATTTAGGAATAATTAAAATCATTTGAAATTGAATAGTATTAATAATTATTGGGATTTCAGGAGTATAGATCAACATTTTTTCTACAATTCATATTGTTATAAAAATTTATGCAATATTTTAATAAAAATTTAGATTTAAAAACTTAGTAATATTTATAATCATTCATAAGAACTTAAATTTAGGAATATTTATTTATTTAATTATGTTATAAAACCAGATATCTACTGTGCTGCATACCTATTTGATTTTAAAACTATGCTGTTCAGGTTCTATAAAGATAAGGGTTTGTGCATATATTAGAATATGGGAAATACTTATTTTATTAGACATCAAATCCACTATATTTGATAAAATCTAAAAGATCTTTAGGGCTAATGAGTAGCGCGAAGTAGCCAATAAGTTTCTTTTTGTTTTTAGAAAACTATGCGGTTCAGGTTCTACAAAGATTAGGGTTAGTATTGATATTAGATGACGAGAAATACTTATTTTATTAAACACCAAACCCACTAAAATTAGTAAAATCATGCCAATAAGTTTCCTTTAGTTTTTGCCAAACTACATTAAGGTTAAGAATGGTCTAAAAGGGTTAGCTAAGGCTATGCAACAAAGATAAGGATTTATTAGATTTTGAGAAATTGTATATTATATTAGCCACCGAATAGTAAAAACGAAAAGATACATTGACTGCTTAATGCTGGTTAACTCATAATACCAAAATGATGACTGTGTTGGTAGATGATAGACTTACGCCAAATCGCCTATTAAGAAATAAATGCTATTTTTATTTATTTATATGTATTTCCGAGTCGATAAAAAGTTATGAAGATATATTAACGAAGTTTATTTCAGGCCCAATATTTTTTAATGAAGAAAATGGATGTACAAATAATATCGTGAAAGAAATTTAATTGCGTCAAAAATTAAAGTAAAGTGGTAGACCATTAGGATCTACAGTATTGGATTAACAAAAATGTACATTGACTTTATTTATTGTTAATAATACACTATTTAGAAAAGGCATACAATTCCAAATAAAATCATATATATATAATAAAGTTAAAATTTCATAGTCTGAGATTCAGAGTTGTTAAAAGATCGAATCAAAAGATCGACGATCCTGGATTCGATCGCAAATTTGTCAATTTTGTGAGATTTATCATTCTGACTTAAATTGAGGATCGAGATCGAGATCATTTTGTTTAAAATTCGATCCCGATCTTTTTAAAAGTTAATTTTATACTTAAAAAGCAATAAATAAAATAAAAATTTTGAAAATTAAATTAAAATATTATTAAAAAAAAATATCTATCTTTATATTTTATCAATTTCCATTATCAACTTCCATTCCACCATTTATTTTATAGATATATTTATTCATTTCCTAAATTTTACGAGATTTAGAGCTCTTACAAGTTATATAATATAAATTTATAATAATATATTAATATTTATTTTAATAGGTAAATGTAAATGTTCATTATAGATTTAGACGATTCTATTGCTTCTACTATTGATGTAACAGCAGATATAAGTGAGAATGAGAATCTTTTACCATTTTTGAAATTACGTAAGTATTTTACTTTATGTGAAATGGATGAAAGCAACTCTTGTAATATTATCAGCACCAAATGCCGTCTCTGTAAGAAGATAATATCATCTTCCAAAATATAATCCTCGAACTTAAAGAGACATTTACAAGTAATTCTTTTAAATTTTTTTTATTTGATAATCTTAATGTCAACATGTTTAAATTTAATTTATTACATTATTGAGTTGAGCAGGTCCTACAGAAATAGAATCTAGATACAGATTCTTTATAAAAAAATGAATTATTAGACACAGTATAATTAATAAAATATTTGATGAAGAGTTAATCTTGGTTTTGTTATTTATATATAATAATTAGGCATTTATTTTTTAATATTACTATTATATTAGTTTAATTTTCAAAAGAAGAGTATTTATAATAAATGGAAGTGTAATAACTAATAATTAAGCCTTTATAATGTATTTTGACTTTCTTTAATATAATTAAAACATCCAGTTCAATGTTATTTGTATTGAACTTAACAATGTTTCACCAAAAGAAAAATAAATATCTATTCTATTATTTCTTTATTATAATATGTTAAATCTAATTAATTAGTATTATAGTTTCAGTTTGAGCTTGATTATTTAATCCTCTTGACAACATTTTTAAGGCTTTTTTTAATAATATATTTTGAATTGAAAGTATTTTTTGTATCATTTGACTCAATCCATAAGTTCTTAAATGCCAAAAAGCCTCATTATATTCATAATAGGAATACTTTTCAAAATCTTTGGCCCATATCATCTTGGGAAACTTTTAATAATGATAGACAATATTGTAAACTTAAATTTTTAAGATAACCTACCCCCTTTTAACCACTAATAAAACATACTTTAATATGTTTAACAAAATTTGTTGAACCCTTAATCCATAGTTCTTAAATGCCAAAAAGGCTAATTATATTCATATATAGGAAAATATTTTATCAAAATCTTTAGCCCATATTATCTTGGGCAACTTTTAATAATGATAGACAAAGACAATATTACTTAAAATTTAAAATAACCTATATTAACATTTTTTAACCATATATAAATTAAATAATATACTTTAATATGTTTAACAAAATTTGTGTTGAACCCTTTATCATTTTTTTGTTTATATAGGTTTTACATTCAGCCTGTACATTGTTTTTTTTTACTTTAAATTTCCATATAAAATTTAAAAAATGAAATTTGATTCAGGAGAAGTTATTTTCATCCAACTTTGATACATACTATTTTTTTCTTTTATAAAGAAAAAGCACAGTGAATTTAAAAATGAGATTATTAAACACCTCAACGAATTCTCTACACAAAAAAATATATCACTGCAAAACCAAAGTGGTTCTGGTTGCAAATCCAGACAATCTAAATTAAATTTTAACAATCTAAACATTCCAGCTGTATCGCAAAAAACAGCAGACAAGGTTATCATGGATTTTATTATTGACACCTTCCAACCACTGTCTCTGGTTGATGATCCTTAACTTGAAAAAATGATTAAAACTTTTCCTCATGCGACAAAAATTATTTTTCGCCAAACACTGGGCCACAGGATATCTACTTCCTTCTCTTATATGACGACAAATCTTATAAGAGATTTGTCTGAAGTTTCTTATGTTGCACCACTGCTGATTGTTGGAGTGGTCATCGAAGGTATATTATATTTATATGAATTTTATAATGTTTATTTTATTAGGGCTTTTATTGGACTTACTGCACATTGGCTGGGTCTGTTAACCCTCGAGAGAAGGTCAGCCGCTTTAGCACTGAGGAGGATCACTGGGAGGCAAACATATGATGTTTTGGCCAACGAAATCATGGGCATCCACAAGTTCTATAAAATTCATGATAAGGTGGTGAAGATGGTGACTGACAATGGAACCAACTTTGTCAAGGCATTTAAGTAATATTTATATTTAGCAAAAAATATTTAAATAAATTTATTTTTTCTAGAGTTTTTGGAGAATGAAGAAGATAGTAGTGATATGGAATTTATAAATTTGGATGACATATTATCCGTTGATGACCCAATTATTCCTACTATCAGCCTACCAAAACATCAACGTTGTTGTTGCCATAATCTTAACCTTATTGCAACAACAGATGCGGAGATGGCAGATAGTGATCTCAATTATAAATGAATATCTGGATCCACTTTTGCAAAATGTTTTGCTTTAGTTAATAAACAAAATATGTCGTCAAAAATGGCGGATATTTTATTGGAGAAATTGGGAAGATATTTAATATCTCGCAACAAGACAAGATGGAATTCTTATTACCAATCCATGAAATTAATAGATAAGATGCTTTCTGAAAAGTTTTCAGAAGTAGAACAAGTATGTGATCAAATTGGATTTGCAATATTTAGGCAAGAGGAATGTTTTTTTGTTAAAGAGTATGCAACAGTAATACAATGATTTCTCTAAATAAATTTAAATTTTATAGGTTGTGGAACCTTTGGCGATCTCGTTAAAAATCTTGGAACGGGAGGATAATATGGAGCAGGGAAATCTAACTCCCGTTCTATCGATATTGATAGATAAATTAACGAAATTTAGCTGCCTGCGGTATTGTCAGCCCCTTGTAGATAGTGTTCTTAGAGGTATTGATAAAAGGTAATATTTTTTTATGCAATTATTTTATATTATCAGATATCTGCAAAATATATTAAAAAATTGCAAAGATCTGGCAAATTTAGTAAAATATTTTTAACAGGCCAGTTCTACTAAACCTCTGATATCTAGTAAAATATTAATGGGCCTTTGAAGACATTAAAAATTTATTAGATTATTTGAATTTTAAGCTAATATTTTGATTAATATTCTTTGTAAATAAATTACAATGTTAATTTCTTCGTATATTAAGTATTAAGTTTACATTTAATCAATATTTATGATATGACTCAAATATAAATAAATACTATACAAATGATGTTAAAATTTAAAAGGGTTAAGTTTTGCAGATACTTGATTTGATTTATATGAATAAAATGAACACTTATTTAATAATAAATTAATTATCATTTCATAATATAGATTTCCTTCGCTGTATGAAAACATAACATTTTGGCAGCCATGATTCACCCTAAATTTAAACTTAATTGGTCTTATATTAATCTGCCACAAAATATGATGGTAAAAGAAAGATTAGTTGCCCATTTGGAAAATATGCAGGAACAACCATATGCGGATACCTCAAATGAATGTATGGATGACATTTATGCTTTTTGGGAGAAAAATACTGTACAAAATGCTTGTTCCGTTAAAAAAATTTTATTCAAATGATGATTCCATGAATATTTTTAATACTTATATTAATTTAAAAAAAATATTTATTGAATATAATACACCTTTAAAGCTAAACATGTTCTAAATGAAAGACGCGGATGTTTAAATGATGATAATTTAGAAAAAATTTTATTATTAAAAGCTAATTTTAATTATAAATAAATATATTATAATTGTTATATTTATTATTCAATTACAATAAATTTCTACCATATTTAATTTATTTTTATATTAGTTAATTTTGCATCGGTTATATTATATTACTAGTTGAATAACCCGTCAAAAATGACGGGGAATATTATTTTTAATGAAACAATATCTCTTAGTAGCACCCTAAATACTATCATTATTTACCAGAGCTCCTGTTAGTCAGAATTGTCAGCGATCATATTAGGAGACCAACCAGGTTCACCATGAGGGAATAGTATAGGATAAACCATGGGGTCTAAATTTGGGCTCAATACATTAAGAATAATGAGATCGTTGTCATTAGATTTAGGATAGACTTTAATATCTCTTTTGAAAGGAGGCTCTCCATCTTCATTATTGAAAATCATAGCTACGTCATCCATAGATGGTAAATTATAACGGCGTCGATCGCTAGAACGATCTCCTTTAAAGATCATATTAATGGTTGGGAGTTTTGTATTAGAAGTAGTTGCTAATTCTAATGCAGATTGATGGACTTCACCTAATGTCTTAAAACTAAGAGCATAGGGGTTAATTTGTCGTATTAACTGATCTAATTGCTTCATAATATCTTTATTACATTTACTATTTGCTGGATGGTGTATACGCTTATCTATAGCCTGTGTCGTATCTAACACGTATAACTGGGCATAAGTAGGCAAAGCATTAGAAGGTGGGTATAAATTAGATGTGCGGTGATATATTTGGCCGTGCACTTTGAAACAATAAGGGCCACTACCTGTAAGCTCCGAAATTTTTGCGCCCATCGATGCAAAAGCTACTGCTGAATTATAAGAACGTATGTTCTTCATAAAATTATTATGTAACTTATCTTGAGGGTTTGATATAAGATTTTTTAAATAAGGAGGATATGGTATTTGGGTAAGGATAACCTTCCCTTTATGACAGCACTGTGTGAATTTACCGTCGGTCGGTCTCTCAGCTATGAAATTCTGGAAAAACAAAATTGACATATGATATTCATAGGCCCGCAAGTATGTTCAGTTATTAAGTGAATATCATTAGTATTAAAATGTGTTAAATTACTTCTATTTTTAAGAATAGATGTATAGGTGGTGGGGAAAATCTGTTTAAGCTTTAGACGAAATGGGCAGCACATGCCCGCATCCTAGCAGTTTTAGTTGATATATCAATAGGAAAAGGTTTATTTAAATTAATACTTTGAGGTGTAGGTACTAAAGCTACTATAGGTTTGGGTTTCTTGGATTTTATATGACTTCGCACTTTACGACCACTTTCCTTAAAATAAAAATATTTTATCTAAATTATTGGAAAATAAAACTTCTTTTGTTATGTTTAATCTTTTTCTATTTCCCAAAATAGAAGTGTAAGTGGTAGGGAAGATTTGTTTAATTTTTTGATGAAAACGGCTTATGCATGCGCTAATCATAGCAGTTTTAATTGATAAATCAATTGGGAGATATAAATTTGAATTAGGATTATGAGTTGTAGTTAATGAAACTAATTTAGGATTATTATATTTGGATTTTATGTGATTCCGTAATTTGCGGATACTTTCCTTTAATTGTTTGGGAGATTGTCTATTTTCCATAGTATTCTATTTATTAACGTTACAAAGAATAAAAATTAAATATTATTTTCAAATAACTGGTAACACAAAAAAATTCCTAAATCTAGAAATGAACTTTTTCGTATCTTGGTAATGTTAATTTTTTTTCTATCAACTTTCCTATCATCTTAACGTTAATTTTTTCACTTTCCTATCTCCTAATGTTAAAATATCTTTTTTCTATCACCTTTCCTATCAATCATCTTAATGTTAAATAAATTGAGAGCTATTATTATCTCGTTAATGTAAAAATTTTTTTATGGCAACACTGGGATTCGAACTCGCAACCTATCGTTCGGAAGACAAACTTTTTCCCATTAAGCCCCCCCCCCCCTTCAATATTATATTTTGATATATTTGTATATATATGAAACTTTTTTTTATGAAATTAACTTAATTTAATTAGAATGACGGGTTGATGGGTAATTATTAAGTTAGGTGTATATGATACTAAATATGCTTTATTAATATATTTTATAAAAATATTAAAATTTAGGAGAAAAAGAGGTAAAATTGTTACAATGTAACACGTGAACATTAAGGGTATTAGAAATATCAAAATTTAAATTGTGATAGAAATCATATTGGCTAAAATTTAAAATAGAGATCCTTGAAAATTTAATTTTAAATATGGGATATAGATATTGGTCTGAAAATTTTTTTTTACAAACATAGCCAGGCCTGATCAAAAAACCAAGTCCCATGCAACTTTCATAAAATTTTCATTTTTTTTATTTTGATTTAATAACAATGTCTTAAATTTAATTTTAATATTCCATTTATTTCTATTGTGGGTAATTACTAATTAGTTAGGTGTATATGATAAGAAATATGCTTTATTAATATATTTTATAAAAATATTAAAATTTAAGAGAAAAAGAGGTAAAATTGTTGCAATGTAACCCGCGAGCATTATGGGTATTAGAAATATCTGGGTAAAATTTAAAATAGAGATTCTTGAAAATTTTTTAATTTTAAATATGGGATATAGACATTGGCCTGATATTTTTTTTTGCAGACATAGCCAGGCCTGATCAAAAAACCAAGTCCAATGCAACTTTTATATAATTTTCATTTATTTTTTATTGTAATTTAATAACAATTTCTTAAATTTAATTTTATATTCCATTTATTTCTATTGTAATTTAATAACAATGTCTTAAATTAAATTTTATATTTAGATTTTAAAATAAAATTTAAAATTGTGATAGATATCATATTAAGTAAAATTTAAAATAGAGATAACATTGGCCGGGAAATTTTTTTCGCAGACATGGCCAGGCCTTATCAAAAAACCAAGGCCTATGCGACTTTCATATTCTGATTGTATTTTTAAATGAATTATGGGGCTGGGCTTGGGAATTTTTTTATTATTAACTATGAGTCAGACATTGAACTAAAACAAATTTTATTGCAGGCCTGGGCTCGGCCTGATCATAAGATCTAAATTTTAATAATTACTTTTATGAAATTTTAATCAAGAATGAAGGAAGCATGATAAAAATGGGTAGCTAATGTCATTTTAAAAGATTCCAATATTGTTTGGGGTGTATTGTGAGATTTATTTTTGTTTGTCAAATAGCTAAATATAATTTAAAGAATAGTTATAAGATCTAAATTTTAATAATTACTTTTATGAAATTTTAATCAATAATGAAGGAAGCATGATAAAAATGGATAGCTAATGTCATTTTAAGAGATTCCAATATTGTTTGGGGTGTATTGTGAGATTTATTTTTGTTTGTCAAATAGCTAAATATAATTTAAAGAATAGTTATAAGATCTAAATTATAATAATTACTTTTATGAAATTTTAATCAAGAATGAAGGAAGCATGATAAAAATGGGTAGCTAAAGTCAGGGTGTATTGTGAGATTTATTTTTGTTTGTCAAATAGCTAGATATAATTTAAAGAATAGTTATAAGATCTAAATTTTAATAATTACTTTTATGAAATTTTAATCAATAATGAAGGAAGCATGATAAAAATGGGTAGCTAATGTCATTTTAAGAGATTCCAATATTGTTTGGGGTGTATTGTGAGATTTATTTTTGTTTGTCAAATAGCTAAATATAATTTAAAGAATAGTTATAAGATCTAAATTTTAATAATTACTTTTATGAAATTTTAATCAAGAATGAAGGAAGCATGATAAAAATGGGTAGCTAATGTCAGGGTGTATTGTGAGATTTATTTTTGTTTGTCAAATAGCTAAATATAATTTAAAGAATAGTTATAAGATCTAAATTTTAATAATTACTTTTATGAAATTTTAATCAATAATGAAGGAAGCATGATAAAAATGGGTAGCTAATGTCATTTTAAGAGATTCCAATATTGTTTGTGGTGTATTGTGAGATTTATTTTTGTTTGTCAAATAGCTAAATATAATTTAAAGAATAGTTATAAGATCTAAATTTTAATAATTAATTTTATGAAATTTTAATCAAGAATGAAGGAAGCATGATAAAAATGGGTAGCTAATGTCAGGGTGTATTGTGAGATTTATTTTTGTTTGTCAAATAGCTAAATATAATTTAAAGAATAGTTATAAGATCTAAATTTTAATAATTACTTTTATGAAATTTTAATCAATAATGAAGGAAGCATGTTAAAAATGGGTAGCTAATGTCATTTCAAGAGATTCCAATATTGTTGGCGGTATAATTAATTGAAAAACGGTAAAAATATATTGGTGAGAAATTCAAAAATTACGTCAAAATTAGGCGCATGCGCAAAGTATATAAAGCTTCATATATATACACAAATATATCAAAATATAATATTGAAGGGGGGGCTCAATGGTAAGAACGTTTGCCTTCCGAACGATAGGTCGCGAGTTCGAATCTCTATTTTGCCATAAAAAAATTTTTAAAAAAAGTTTTAACATTAGCGAGATAATAATAGCCCTCGATTTATTTAACATTAAGATGATAGGAAAGTTGATGGAAAAAAAATATTTTAACATTATGAGATAGGAAAGTGAAAAAATTAACGTTATGAAGATATGAAAGTTGATACAAAAAAAAATTAACATTACCAAGATACGAAAACGTTCATTTCTTGAATATGGCTATTATATATATAGATTATTCAATTACAATAAATTTATAACATATATTAGTTAATTTTGCATCGGTCAGAAATTTCCTTCAGAAATTTAAATAGAAAAAAAGATCGATCCTGGATTTCGATCCTCTTTTTTTGAAAAGATCGTGATCGGGATTCGATCGGTTTAAAAAGATCGGTTAACAAGTCTGCTGAGATTTAATTACAATATATGATGTTGGCTATCAAGAACAGTACCATAATTTCCAAAACTTTGTTGACTTAAAAATAATTCTTATCAAAAGTATATTATTGATATAAACAAATTTATAAATCTATTTAATTAGATTATTAAAAATTTTTTTTATGCATTTTGAAGGATCTTCAATTGGATTTAGTAGACTTTGTACACTCAAACTCAAAGTTAAAAAATTGTTAGATTTTGTAATTATTAACAGGTAATATTTGAGGCCATAGATAACCCATTCGTTAAAATTATACATACATTTAAACATTTTCATAATCCAACTACCAATATTTGGAGGAAATGGCATGTTTCTCACTTAAATTTAGTGTTAACAAAAATGAAAGTCCCCCAAAATATTGGATGGATGCTAACTACTCCATCATAATTGGAAACAATTAAAGCAGATGGGAACTGTTTTTACCGGTAATTTAAAAATGATAAAAAATTTTACCTGATTATATAGTTCATATTTTATTTTATAAATTATGATTGTATTTTTATACTAATATTCATAGGATATATTTATGTTTCTATCATTACCTTAAATTTTAATGATTATATCCTATATAAATACAACATTATTTTTTTTTTAATATAATTATGTTACTATTTCTAAAAACCAATCATATTTTTGAAAATAATAATTTGATGTAAAGTATGGAGATTACAGAAAAACAAGGCTTCTATGGTTTGATTTGATCACATATTGTCTTAATGATGCTGCAAAAAAAAATGATAAAAAATAATATTATATTCAAGGTCAAAATACATGTAAGAATGCTGAATGGGCAACTGATATTGAAATCCGAAGTGTTGCCACATTTCTCAATACCCCGCTTATGATGTTAGCTAAGTATGGAGCTACATTCCAGCAAATGTATCCGCTATTTAGATATGATGATGGAAATATAAAAAATATTTGAGCAAAATATTTATATTAACAATTCTGGATCCCATTTTGTTAATGTTATTGATTTTGATTTTGATTTAAAGACAAAAATTTTCCCAAATTACATAAATTTGGCCAGATTATTATAAAAATTAGGGTCAAGTATGGATCAGATTTTTATCTAAAATGTAGCCTATGTTTAATTCAGACAAATATATGGACCACCTAACTAGAAACCCTAAAGAACCATGAGAAAATCTCAAGAATTCTGTTAGAAATTGTTATAAATATTTTCCAAATGGTTCATAAGTTTCTGAAATTATATTAATTTTGGTTAAGAACAATATCTTCCTAAGTCCTCTTCCCACCCCCTGTTCCCCAAATATGCATATATTTTAAATAATAATTTGAAAGAAAGAATGCAAAAGCAAATATTTTTTAAACTAAATCTATTCATTATAATTAATACATTTTTGGAAAAAAGCATTTATATATTTAAAAAGTTAAATCAAAAATGTTTTTTAAGAAATGAAATATAAGCCAAAGATAAGTCTTAAGACTAAAGTGAAATGTATTGCAATTACTATTAATAGATCCATAAAATTGCTAAATAATATAATATATCAAATATAATTTTTTATCAAGTGAGTAACTTTCATTTATTTATCATAATTAAAGTAAAATATAAATATAAAATTATTGATAAAATTAAATTAAATAAAAAAAGTTAATGCACAATACAAACCGTGGAGTATTATGTTTTGTTAGATTTATAGTATATCTAATTTTATATATTGAGTTTGGTTATCCATTATTTGTCAGCGGATACATAGTATTCTATAAAGTGATTTTCTATTGGAAAAAAAAATCGCATTCCATATCAATTTATTCCATGGGTTTTTGGTTCCTTCTAAAAAGAATACCTCAAACATGATAACCAGTAATGTAGTTTCGAAAGAGACCAAAATTGTTTGAAACCTTTCCCCCATCTGATTTCAATACCTATTTCAATTAGTGGTTGATTTTTCAGTCTTCTCAAAACAGGTATATTTTGATTTTATTTTTCCTCTAGCTGTTTCATCAAAATGCTGCATTAACCTCTCTCTGAGAATTACTAATACTATATATTACAAATTAAGAAATATGTAGTCAGTAATTTGTCTACCTTGTTATATTCTAGTAACTTAAAATGGTTTTGCCTTTATGTATTTTATTGTTACCATAACTTTAAATATAATTAACATATTACAAATATATGAAGTTTTTAATACTTTTATCTGTAATCTGTCTACACTGCGATAGTCTATTTATTTTGAAATGGTCTCAATATACTTTATTGTTTTTGTCCTTAGATCTTAAATTGGTTTTAGTAGATTTTTCTGTTTAATGTAGATTTAACCAATATATAACAAATATATTTAGCTACTCAATACTTTTAATGGTTTTAAAGTGGGCTTAAATTTCATATATAGTAAATACTTTGTTAAAAGTATGTTTTAAACTTCATAAAATAAGTACATTGGATTAGTATACATTATAACATTTAAATGTTTTTGCTTCACATTTGTTAAATTTAGTAGATTTTATTAGTTCTTAAACTAAATAATTGATGTTTTGACTTCTCAATATATATATAAATTACATTTTATAAACATTAGTCTAAATTAGTCAAAGTTTTTGACTTCTCAACATTAATATATTACATTATATACATATTAGAAAAATTAGACATTTTATTTTATTAAATGTTAAAGGTTTTAGTTTCACAAGGGTTAAATTCTAGTTACTATAGATATCTTATTTAGCTAAAATTTAAATAGTTTATTAATTTTTTTTTCAAATATTTAGTTGACTGAATATTTCTCTTTAGGTCTAAATGTTTTTCATTTACTATCCTCATAATACTTTTGTTATTAAAAGTGGTGCCACTTTTATTATTTAAATATACATTATTACATTAATTATGTTATAGCTCTTTGCTTTCATTTATCTTTTTAGTTCTTATTTCCACAAAAGTAGTTCATCTTGTTGGCATTTATGATAACATTATTTATGATTCGACTTTTCTTAATTAAAGATCTTTTTTGTCCTATAAGTATATTAATTAAAATTGGATTAGTTTAAATTTGATATTTTAAGTATTTGTAAGTTTTTAACTCACTTAGTTAAATTTAACTCAATTTTTTGGAATTCTATAGTTTTAAATATTTCTAACTTCACATAATATATTAATTTAATTCATTTTTAGAATTTTATTGCTTAAAACTTTTTTAGCTTGACATAACATATTAATGTTAGCACATTGTAACATTATTTTACATTTTACTTAGATTAATGCAAATATATATTGCATTATACTATATTATTTATGTATATATTCATAGTACATATTATGTATATATTCCTTAGTATGCATATTTTAGGTTGGTTTCTAACATCATGTCCATTAGATTATATATAAATATAGATCTCTAACACAACGCTAACATTATATTATGTATAAATTATTTTATATTACATATATTAGACTATATATATATTTTTTATATATATTAGTTTAACGCTTATTTTATCTCCCTTTTCTCTCACTCGCTAATATTTTTATGACTCCCTCCCAAATATGTTTCTATTTAACTGATTCTGTCTATTTATTAATTCTATTTATGTTTTTCTTTTAATTCAAACGACTTTTTCAGGAAATTATTATTTTTTCTTATATATTTTTGTCTTGACTAAAAATATAACTAATAAATAAAATTTTATTTTTAATATTTCATATTTTTAACTTTATAGGCGCCACTGTTATATTAATTTCTTTTTGTTTCTATTAAACTAAAAGTTTTTTATAATATTGGGTGCCATCGATCTCTCTTTTCTTAACATTTAAATTTTCTCTTTCTTGCTTTTTGGGAATGTCTTATACAACTTGTTATTAATATTTGTATTTATTTATTTAGAACTTAATATAATTTATAATTTTGGTTATTGTAAAGTGATTAGGTTATCCCACCCTGAATTTTTCCCCCTTATTATTGTTTTACTTATTTATTTTTATTAATCATTTCCTTTTCCATAGTCTTCTATTAAACAAAATTTTTGTAAAGTTTTACTTTTACTTTTTATACGCAAGCTCTATTTTATTTCCCTTCAAATTTTAAATCTTTTTCTATTATAATGTCTATGTCAACTCGGTTTCCAAATGTCTTGTGGTTTTTTGAGTGAACCAAAAAAATTTTTTTTTTCCATGCTACAGGATGTGATGGCTATAGCTCAGTAACCCTTTAATTTCTGTGGTCTTAGTTTTTTGGGTAGTTACTTAGGTAGGACTTATTCCATCCCACTGCAGCAGTTCCGCTCTCCCATATTTTATTGAAAGAGGGCAAATAGGTAGCGAGATATTGTTAGAGGTGCTATTTTTGGTTTTTTTGCTGTGACATTATCTAACCCCGGAGCCTTGTTTTCCCTTAGTTTTTGACCACTTATTTCATTTATGGAGAAACCAATCGACAGGGGGGGGGCGAGGTTTGTAATTATGTTTGTTGGTAATTTCCGTGAGTGATAGACTATCATATAACAATCAAGACAAGAGCCTTTTGTTAATCCTGGCCTACAATTACTTTTCTATTTCCTAAAACTTACGGTGGTTCCTATTTCTGCGTCATAGTTCCTTTCTCTCATATCTTTATCAATATCAAAGACCTTTTTTCGCTATTTAATCTATCTATCACTCCGTAGAGTATTTTGTTTCTCTGGAAAAAGAGAAGAAAAAAAACCTTTGTTGCGTGGTGTTCGTTGCTGGATAGTCATAAACCTATTACTGACTAGTTTTTGCCTATTCACTGGAATTTTCACCTATTTAAACAATTCGCGGTAAACCCATTAGCTTTTTCTTATTTTCATGAATAAATTCTAATTTCAATTGATATGAACACATTCTCAATTATTGATAGTAATTATCAAGGCTTACATTAAAGATGTTAAACTTAAACTTAGCCACCACCCACCCTTAAAGTAATTAAATTATTTTTGCAGTTCTTGGGTATAGGCTTTTGTTTTGCCCATTTCTTTTTTTCTATTAGCCTATAGACGTTTAAGCAACAGTTCTCGGACTGTTGCGCGTACAAGTACGTGCGGCTTGCCCACAAACGTGTGAAGGGCTCCTCATTTTTTCTCCCCTTAGTTAACTATCCAGTTTGATGGATTTTTGAGGAAAACCTAGCGTAGCTCTGTTGTATCCACAACCAGAGGGCGAAAACGCTTTTATCACGTATCACGTAATTTTATATATTATCATATGACAATCAAATAATTTTTAGTAATATTGAATTATATATTTTATAGAAGACTATAAAATATTGATAAGGACATCAGAAAATATTTTTTAAAGAATGTTAAAAAAGATAATTCTATATTTCAGTACGTCAATATTTAATAAGGTATATCATATCCATTGTGGGATGATTAATTTTTAATATCATTTTTTATTATAAATAAATAATGGCATTAAAGAATTGAATGCTAATTGTTGCTTATATTTATTAACAAAAACATTGATTACTAAAGTTTATTAAAATATTTATTGTAATCTATATATATATAATCCTCAAAAAACGTCAATCAAATTTAGCCAATAGTTTTCTTTTAAAACATATTTGTTAAAAATGATTATAGCTTAATCGGTCCAATAGTAATCACCTTACCAAGCTCAGCATTCATACACTTACCATTTCATTCACTTCACATATCAAAGCAATGGTATCCAGCAACCAAGTATAATTTTTTCAGTTCTTATATATAATTATATTATTTTTATTAGATTTTTCAACAAAACCCAACTACCAATATAAGAAAAAACAAACCAAGTTAAAAAGCAGAATAAGCAAAATGCATTGTTACCATCATTCCAGAGGTATGTGATGCTATATAGAAAACTTTAAAAGATATTCATATGCCAGTTCCAACTAGAGAACATTGGGAGAAGATATTATAAATTTAGATATATTAATATATTTTTAGATTGCACAAAAATATTTTAACCTGGCTCATTAGATGGTAAGCACTTTATATCAAAGTAAATTTTTAATATTAATAAATAATTTTTTATTATTTTAGAGTTAGAAAAACCAATATCAAACACCTTAAAAAAACTATGAAACCTTATCCTATGAAAAATAACAATCCAGAAGCAAAGCATTATAAGTTAAGTAGTGAGTGAATGCACATTTGGCATAACTACTGATAAGTTTGCCATTAATTCTAAATCTATAAAGTGCTCAGTTGAAAATGCCTGTAAAATATATTATTGATTATGAAAAATTCAAGAGGAATAAGATATTTATTTAAAGACTATTTTAATTCTTGAATTTATGTATAAATTTAACATTTGATATCATTATATATTAAACTAGCTGATAGCCCATCAAGATTAATGGGGAATAATTTTCTCCTTTATTCAATGATGGATAATTAGAAATTTTCCTATTTAATGGGATCTTATTCAGAAATTTATATTTATTAAGATCAGGGGTTATTTTAAAATTTTTCTAAAATTGCAAATAAATTAATAAAAATTTAGTTCAAATGATTTTTTATTGTGCACATAAATTAAAATTACTAAAGATGGGATAAATATAATTAGTACTGCCTAACCTACTATTTACTCTTAACCAAATTCAAGAATCTATGAGTCATAAGTATGGATTCTTCCTTTTATCTGACTATTTAAATTTTTAATTTTTATAGGTAAATTTTAACTATATAGATGAATAACAATAAAAAATACAAATTCTCTTTCACCTAATAATCCTATCCTTTCAATAAAAGAGGTAACCTTATTTTCCATATTCTTTTTAATTTAATATTCATTTTTTTTTAAATTCAACCAATAAAGGATATGTAATAATTTGTTCTATTAAGCACTAACAAACCTATCATTGAACCCTTAACCAATACAAAAAATTTCATGACTCAGTTATATATTTTTCATTTTATCAGACTTTAGATTTTTATAAGTAAATTTATACCCTATTTTTTTGTGACATAATAATTTACTATGTTATTTATATATTAAGTTATCTATATTATTTTATATAGATAAGAATAACAATAAATTCTCATATACCTTGGAATCCTATCTTTTCAAAAAAATATGATATTCTTTTTTATACATTTATTTTAAGATAAGTCAATTTAAATTATATCTCACAACAGAGAAAGGATCAAATTCTATAATATAAAATTTACATCTATTATTCTATTCAAACAAAATAATTTAATTACTCATTTGCTTTCAACTATTCTTTTGTAAAAAGTTAAATTTAAAAAAATTAATATTTTAAATAGCAATAAATAATAATTAAACAAAAAAGTTAAATTTAAAAAAATTAATATTTTAAATAGCAATAAATAATAATTAAACAAAATATAAAACCTTTTTAGAAATGAGAATAGTTAGAGGCAAATGAATAATATAATCATTTTGTTTGTATAGATGTAAATTATATTTTTAAATTTGTCCTTTCTCTGTCTCTATTAGATTTAATTGAAATGGACTTATCCTAAAATAAATAGAAAATAAGATTGGATTCCTAGGTATATTGCTTATCTATATAAAATAATATAGATAATTTAAAAAATATATAAATAACATAGTAAATTAATATGCTACGCAAAATTAGGGTATTAATTTTCTCATAAGATGAAGTAGCTATGATTTTTACAAATGATGATGGTGAACCCCCATTTAAACGGGATATCAAGGTCTATCCTCGAGTTGATGGTAGTGATCTGATAAATATAAATATATTAAGCCCTAATCTTGATCCAATGGTATATCCTCTATTATTTCCTTTTGGTGACCCTGGTTGGAAACCAGATTTAAAGGGTGAAGATGTACAAGGGCAAATATCTCACTACTACAGTTTAAAATATTTAGATTAGCAATTCGTGAAAATGAATTCAACCCAATCCTTTTTGCTGGGAAATTATCACAACAATATATTGTTGATTCCTATTTACAGGTCGAGGCGAATGATTTAAATTTTATTAGACAAAATCAGCCAAAATTACTAGTAGATGAATATTCTGGATTAATGGACTACTTGGAAACAAGGTCAAACAATATAATTACCAGTAAAGCAGTAATATTACCATCATCTTTTCAAGGTTCTCAGAGAAATATGCGAAAACGCTATCACGATGCAATGACCATTGTGCTCAAATTTGGCAAATCTGATTTGTTTATTACTTTTACATGCAATCCTAATTGGCGTGAAATTAAGGAAAATCTATTTCCCGGGCAAAGTCCTACAGATAGACCAGATTTAATAGCCCGTGTTTTTAAATTGAAATTAAATGAATTATTGTTCGATATAAATAAAAAAAATTTATTTGGTAAATCTATGGCTTTTATATATACAATCGAGTTCCAAAAAAGAGGTAAACGATGATAGCAAAATTGAAACATCTCAAGCTATAGATAAATTTGTTTGTGCTGAAATTCCAGATAAAATTCTCGAACCTAAACTTTTTCAGATTGTTACCCATTTTATGATACATGGTCCTTGCGGGATATTTAACCCCAAATCGCCTTGCATGGAAAAGGGCATATGTACCAAAAAATTTCCTAAGGATTTTCAAATGGAAACAAGACCTTGATGGGTATCCATATTATAAAAGGCGAGATAATGGTATTACAATTCTTTCCGGTAAACCTACGGATAATCGTTATGTTATTCCATATAATTGATATCTAATGTTAAAATTCAATGCTTATATTAACGTGGAAATTTGTACATCTATTAAATCGGTAAAATATATCTTTAAGTATATTTATAAGGGCTATGACTGTACTAATGTTGACATTAATGTTGCTTCAAATATAAATATTCATGACGAAATTAAATCACATTTAAATGCGCGATATGTGAGTGCATGTGAATCAATGTGGAGATTATTAGAAAATAATATGCATGACCGCTCGCACGCTGTTATTCGCTTAGGAATTCATTTACCTTTACAAAAGCCAGTATATTTCACTGCTGGACATGAAAGAGATGCTTTATTGAGATCAGAAAATTACCATACTACTTTAACGGCATGGTTTGAGTTAAATAAGACAGATCTAAATGCTAGACAATATCTTTATGGGGAAATATCTTATCATTATGTGTTTACAAATTACCATTGAAAACTAAGAAAAAAAGGATTAAATATAATTTCGAGAATGTATTCCGTTCATCCTAATTCTGGTGAACGATTCTTCCTTCGATTATTATAACTTCGTGTTTGCGGGGCTACAAGTTTTGATTATTTAAAAACTATTAATGGGATTTTAATGAGTACTTTTAAAGAGGCAGCTATTAAAAGAAATTTGTTATCAGATGATAAAGAGTGGGAAGCTTAGAAGAGGGATCAATATATCAAATGCCGTCACAACTTCGGATTACTTTTGCCTTTATCTGCATTTTTTGTCAGCCTGAAAATCCTGCATATCTATGGAATAGGTTCAGATTTATGATGATTGAAGATTATTTGCGTCAATATTCAGAAGTAATTGCAATAAACATGGCTTTAATGGACATTGAAAACGTTTTTCTTGATCATGGTTTACGCTGTCAAAGTTTTGATCTTCCTTCACCTACAAAAATCCCCCCAAAACAACATTATGATGCCCATGTTGAAGCTGCCGATTCAATCGAGCGTATATATAAATTAAACCGATTACAAAAATATGCTTTTGATTTAATTATACAAGCGATTGAATTAGAAAATATTCCAGAAAGATATTTCTTAGTGGATGGCCCTGAAGGTTCAGGTAAAACGTATCTTTACAATACCTTAATGTGTTATATAAGAGCAAAAAATCAAATTGTATTGCCTTTTGCAACCACCGGCATATCCTCTATTCTTTTAAAGGGGGGAAGAACCATCCATAGCGGATTTAAATTACCTGTGCATATCTTTGAAACTTCTACATTCCATATGAATTTACATAGTTAGCTAGCTCTAGATATTAAAAATAGCAAATTGATTATTATTGATGAGGCCATAATGATGATTAAACACGCTTTGCGATGCATTGACCGATTACTTAAAGACATTTTGAAAAATTCCCACCCATTTGGCGGAAAAGTTATTTTATTAGGTGGTGATTTTAGACAGGCTTTATCAGTAGTGCCTAAAGGCTCCAAAGTCGATATTATAGAGTCCTGTATAAAAAGTTCAGATTTATGGAGTCATTTTAAAATAATACATTTGATTTTATAATTTCAATTTACACGTTTTATTTCAGGTTATTTACGGCAAACTACGTGCAAGGAAATTACAACATCATCTTCAAAAACGAAACCACATTGAGCAAAGAAAGGTAAACTTCTTCACTATCGCTAAACCATCTTCCTCACCAACAACAGTAAATTCTATTTTATAATTTCAATTTACACGTTTTATTTCAGGTTATTTACGGCAAACTACGAGCAAGGAAATTACAACATCATCTTCAAAAACGAAACCACATTGAGCAAAGAAAAGAGAACTTCTTCACCATCGCTAAACCATCTTCCTCACCAACAACAGTAAATTCTACTTTATAATTTCAATTTACACGTTTTATTTCAGGATATTTACGGCAAACTACGAGCCATGGCAAAACATTAACAAATAAAAGTCAAAATACGGTGATATACCCGACTAATGCTTAAAATTCTTACATCCCTCTCAATATTGAAAATATTTTAAATCTCCTTTTTTAGGTAAAATTTTCTATATTATTAAATTTAATATATTATATTTTTTATATGGCTACAAATGCATATGTGTTGTAACCCGATAATCATCAACTCTTGAAGTATAAATATTTATTATATTTACTTATAATTCACATCTTTGTCTCTTTTTTTCTATTTCTTCCTTCTTTTTTTCTATTTCTTCCTTCTTTTTTTCATTCTTTTTTTCATTTCTTTGCTCCCCTAAAATTCATCTCCTACCTTCACGCGGTGGGGAGTGAACAGCAATTCTGACTAACAGGAGCTCTGGTAAATAATGTTAGTATTTAGGGTGCTAATAAGAGATATTGTTTCATTTTTGTAATTTTAAATATAAATTTCTAAATCATATCTCAAATTATAATTCCCCGTCATTCTTAACGGGTGATTAGTGTGTATATAATGGTAGTATATGTCTACTTATTTTTGTAAAAAAATTTATTATACTTGTTTGGAATAAATTATTGCCAAATTTTTATATTATATATATAAATAATTTATTATATTTTAAATAAACTAATAAAGATATATTTCCTATTTTTTTCAAGCTTATTTTTTGATATAATGTCTTAACAATTTCAATGAGATTAATTATAGTCAGGCTTGATTTATTTTTATTATGGTATAAATAAATTAATAAATTTAACTATGTTTGCATAACTATTTTTATCAACCTAACAAATTTAAAGACAAAGAATAATAATAATCGCAATTTTAAAATTAAGATAACCCAACTTCATCACTAAACGAGAACATGAGCAATAGGAGAACTTGCTCATATTGCTTTAGAATTATTAACATAAAAAATAACAATTTAATAACCATCCATAGACCACTCACTTCAAGATGCCCAGGTAGTAATAAACCTCCAACCTCCCAGCTTGAACCTTCATCACTTAGCATCTCACCAGATATTTCACCACCACCTTTAATCTAAACCCCAAATGACTAACAATTAATCCACCAAATGAAATCCAACACAGGAAAAGATCTTTATAAAAAACCTGATTTGGAATACCCAAAATTTTTAACAAGCTATTTTAGCCCTGCCATATCACGAATCCTAAAATGCAGCCCTTAAATTAATTTAACCTTTTTATATCAAAATCATTAATAATATTTTACAAAATACAGAAGATCTAAACTGGATAAAATTGATATATTTCCCAATATTAATATTATCAAATCCACCAAAAGATAATCCAACCCCACTATGCCAAACCATCAAAGAAAGAATTGAAAACTTTGATTTTAATTTTAAAAAATTAACACCAAATATCAACGATCCTGCTAAAAAGACTTTAAGTAACCCCTCACACAAACTAATAAATAATAAGATTAATAATTTCAATCTAAAAGGAGTTCTTGCTAACGCAAACACTTTGGCACCCGATAATATCACCACAAGAAATCAACTTTTAGAAAAACATCTGAACCCCAAATACACTCTCCTATAATAAATTTAAAGATAAATATCACTCCCGGAAATGCCTTAACCACTATTAAATCTTTTCCAAACGATTCTGCTCCAGGACTGGATTACCTTCGATCCTCATTTATTATCGACCTCTTGGGTTTACAGTTCCGAATTTCTACTTAATTCTTTAACGAAAATTTTTAATCTTATTATCAACGGGAAATTACCACATAAACTAGCACCAATAATCTTTGTTGCTCAACTAATTGCGTTTGTAATAGCTGAAAATCAAGTGCGCCCAATAGCTACTGGAATTTTCTACCGACGAACCATTTCAAAAATTATTTGTAATCGACTAAAATCTACAATAATCTTAAGCTTAGCTCCTTACCGGATTTGGAGTAAAAGGAAGCTGTGAAGCCGCAATCCATTGCAGTCAACTAGTTTTATCCAACCTCGAACCTGAAGATTATATAGCAAAATCCAATGCCTTTAATTCAATTAATAAGAATAAAATGATCGATACTTTCTTGGAAACATTCCCTAACTACCACAATTACATCCATCTTAGCTATGGCATTCCTTCCTTACTCAAGTTTAATGATTATATTATTAATTCTGCAGAAGGCCTCCAACAGGGTGACCCATTAGGACCACTACTTTTTGCTATACCCTTAAACACTTAATAAGTGATATTGCCCTCTCATGCAAACTCAATCTACACATTTGGTACCCTGACGATTGTACTATATCGGGGACCATTCTTCAATCCAGAATTGTCTAGATATAATCAACAAACACTTTGATGAACTTAATTTATCCTTAAATATAAATTAATGCGAAATTTACTTTTCTCCGCGTCCAACAGACACCATATTAGATAACTTTAGACGGACATTCTTACAAGATTTCAGTATATTAGGAGCCCCATTGGGAGGTGCAGAGGGAGTTTTTAATTTTTTAAATAATTACCTTCAATCACTTTTCCCCAAACTATCGATCTTAAAAAAAATTACCCATCCATCAAGCATATTATATTGTCAAAAACTCCCTTTTAATACCACAAATCCAGTATTGTTAAAAACTTCTGGTGCCTTCTCTTTTGAAATTCTTTTAAAAGAATACGAATATAAGATACTACAAAAGAACACAGAGTTATTAAATATCAAACTCGATTCTAACTCATGACTTCAAGCAACTCTCACTTGTAAATCCGGAGGACTAGGCCTAAGATCGGCATTAAGTATAGCCCTTGTTTCCTCATCTTATCAGCCTTATCAGTAAAAAATATTACCTTGCAAATTATTACCATAGATAGATGAAGCCTTACGTTGTTAGAATATTAATGTCTTACCAAACACAGCCACACCAGATTCAACGAAACAAAAAGATTGGGATCAAGGATTGGTATCTTGTTCCTTAGCTTATCTCAACTTGAGCGATGATCACCAATATAAATCCCTCCTAAGATCTCTTAATTTCAACAACTCTGGCCATGAATGGTTAGATTCATATCCCAGCATTTTAAATAACCAGCTAATAGATAACGATGTTCGTTATGCAATCAATTTACCCTTGGGCGTACCTTTCCTAAACCATTATATTTACATTAAATGCAATCAATCGGCAGACGCATATGGTGGACACGCTCTCCAGTAAATTTATATCAAAAATTAGCCGACATGATAAAATAAATATATTAATAGCTTTTTTTAAAATAAAGCCAATTTTCCATGCATTTTAAACCCGACATCTTTTTTAAATAAAAAACGCCCTGATGGCAAAACAATCGTACTTTTTTTAATGAAAAAGCCTTTAATGTAGGATTTTACCTGCATTGATCTCATGGCCCCATCTAATAATTTGCATGATCCCCTTAATAGAGCTGAATCTCTAAAAAATCAAAAATACTCGCATTTAATGTGTGACAACTTTGTTCCCATAGCAGATACATCAACCTGCTCTTTTGGACAAGCGGCATTAGATCTCTTCAAGATAATATCCAAATCAATCAAAAAATCATACCTTTCTCCATTTTATAAACTCAAGCAGAAAATAGCCATCTCTTTAATCAAATATTCAAAACATCTTGGCCCGACCTCGCCACCTGATTTTTTTTTATTTTTATATTTTACCATAGACTTTATAACATACCATCCATGTTAATTTTTAAATAATAATATTTTATCATATTTGTATATGAATTTTAATAAAAATCAATAGAATTAAAAATTAAGATATTATTTTTTTTTTTTATTATTAAAATAACCTCCTATCTTGTAAAAATATTTTATGACCCAAAATGGGGTATGGAGTAGAAGCCCTCAAAAAAATTTTAATTCCCCTCCCCCCTTAGGAAAATCCTGGTGTAGATGATTGCTAGTATATAACAATCCACCCTTTTTTTTTAAATTATTCCACGCTGTATTTGAAGTGAGTGGTTATCGTTAAGTTTTGTCTATTCATTGTTTAGAGTTTTTGCCATTGTTGTTGTTGCCTAAATCATATCTTTATCGTTGGTTTGTTTGAATCGCTAGTATCCTAATCGTCCAATCATTCGCTTGATCATCATCATCTCATTAGCTTGATCATCATCTCAATAGCTTGTTGATCTCGTTCATTATCACATGTAGTTATTATCATTGTTTTTAATTATTTTTATTTGTTAACTATTATCAGCAATTTACCTCGAATAAAATAATTAATGGAATAAATAATTTATATAGGAATAATATATAGAATAAGGATAATAATCGTATATTGGAATATTGAATTTTGGAATATTTTGAATTGAATATCGAATATTAGAATAAATAATTTGTATGGAATCAAATACGAATTTATTTGTCGCGTTTTTAGGTTTATATTAATAGTAATTTCAATCCACGAGGTTAAAATATGCAAATAAAATATTATGCACATTTCCCTCTTCTTTTTTAAGTTTTTAACACCCTTGTTTTTTATATTTAAAAGTGCCTTAATATTATAATTCCTCTTCAGATTATCATTACTTTTTGTAAAACATATTTCGTTTAATCTCAAATTTTTTTAAAAATAATCTCCTTATCGCACCTTAAATTTACATGTCCAGTATTGGTATTGTCTTCTATTCTCTTTATAATACTTTTATTCTTTGCAATTTCTTTATCATCTTTAATATAAATTGGATTTATTTTATTATCACATATTTTTTTAATTACTAGTATTTCTTTTTATTCTATCATATGATTTATATATTTTAATTTATAAGACTCTATTTTATCTTCATATATGAATTTTGTTGAAATTACTATAAAATTTTTAGTTATAATTATCAAATTTTTTATTAGCTTAATACGATACATGTCCATAACATTTTGTAATAAAATTACACTTTTCATATTTACCCAATTAACGTCTTTCCAGTTTTGATAAAAATTAGAATAATAATCTCATTAATAAACCATGAAGTTATTGTTATTTTTAAATTTATTATGATAATGATAATTTTTTCTTGTCTCATAATAATATTTATTTTCATTATTTATACTTTCTTAATAACTTTTATTACTATATTTAGTATT